TTGACTAAAAATTCAAATTAAATTAACAATTAACCTAAACAATAATATTTTAATAAAACTTACCCAAAATATTCAACAAAAACCTAAAAGTTTCTTTGAGCTAACGGAAACGTGATTTCACCGTGATTGTACGCGCAGTGAGGAATACGCTAATACGTATGTCAACATTTTATTAAAGCAACTTGACTTAATACGCAATATTTTAAAGTGTATAATCTACGGTTTCTTTTTCTCCAATTACTTAAGGACCAGCCTGTATATATATATATATATAATATATATATATATATATATATATATATATTATATATATTATATATATATATACAAGGTGTTCCTTAAGTAATTGTACAAAAAGTAACTGTAAATTCTAGACATTAAAAAATTACGATTTAAGCCAAATTGCTTTAATAAAATGTTGATATTAAAAAAGATACAGGGTGTTAAAGTGGAAATTTAAAATTTTATTTTTCGCCCTAACATTCATGTTTGTAAACATTAATGTATGGCATGCATTTGCACTTAACTTTTTTGTTCTTCAAGTTACCAGTATTTGGTAAATAATATTAAAGATACATTATTTTAACAAAAAAAAGGTATACCTGTTAATAACTTCAAAACTCAACAGTTTTCGAGATAATCACATTTTACAAATCAACTGCATAATTCTGATTTAACGCAATTACTCCAGGCAATTCAAGAAAAATGAATAAAAACATCAATACTTCTGAATTTTGTTATAAAAATACCTTTAATCAAGTCAATAGTTAACGAAATAATAAATAAAATAAATATATCAGCAGGATAAAATAATAGGATTTGATAAATAACCTAATAATTGGTTTTTACATCAAACATTTTACGTTTTGTATTAAATTAAAGTCATAATCAAATTATTTTATTTACAAACCAAATTGAGAAATAGGTAAACTAAATATCATTAAACTTTTTGTTAATGTGGTGTTCGATATGTCCACCAATTTCTTTAATTCATTTGTTAATACATTCCATAAAATATCTTCTCACATTAAATAGCATCATTGGTTCTAAAGAAACTGCTGCAGTACGTATTATAAGTATTATAGTAGGTATTATTTTGTGATTTTTATGAATTAAATAATTATATTATTATGTCACCACATGACCAAGGAATATGACTACCACGAACAATCCAACATTCAGGAACGTTATTTTTAAATACTGTTCTCACTCACTGTATCTTTCTTAATATCAATATTTTATTGAAGTAACTTCACTTAAATCGTAATATTTTAAAGTGTAAAATCTACGGTTTCTTTTTGTACAATTACTTAAGGACCACCCTGTATATATATATATATATATATATATATATATATATATATATATATATATATATATATGTATATATATATATATATATATATATATATATATATATATATATATATATATATATATATATATATATATATATATATATATATATATATATATATATATATATATATATATATATATATATATATATATATATATATATATATATATATATATATATTATATTTATTTCGGGTAGAATAAGTTTTAGATCTTTAATAATTATATTTCCTTGAAATGATGCAGAATAACCTTATGTGCTTATTGGTCGCATTTAATTCAAAAGCGCGATTTAATATGATTTTACTTCCACGCACATCTGTCAAATAACTGTCAAAGTGTTTGGACGCGTTTAAGAGTTCCTCGGGAAAATTTATATATTTAAGTAGTTCTAAAGTCTTTTTTTATTAGATTTCGATCTCTTGTGATGTGCAGAAGTGTATTTCAAGATATAATACAGGGTGTTTAGCGATTTTGTTTTATTTTTGCGTTATATTTTAAGTTATAGTACTCTGTCAACCGTACTGTAAGTAGAAATTTTTTATTAATTTTTTTGTTAAACGCCGTGCCCCGTCATGTCCGCGGGCAAAAATGGTATCTCTGGGAAGGATCCACCAGATCCTGGTGTAGAGGACATTGAATTTAGAGATAGGAATGATATTAAAAACAATATTGATAGCAAAAACTTGCGTTCAACTTCGCCTAAAACAAATATTCAGAAAAATCAGGTATTTAACTGAGCTAATCGATTTAGTTCTAGTGATAATGGTCCTTTTTTTATATTTGTTCAACATATTAATTTAAATATAGGTCGTTTGCATCCAATGAAACTTGGAGAGAAACTACTTTCATTATCTAATTATGATAAAAATATTATAGAAATTGTTAGTGTAGGTAAAAACCGTATCAAAATTCAAGTAGATTCAGGTGATGTAGCTAATAAATTAGTTACAGAAGAATTTTTTGAAAAAAATAATCTAATAGCATATATTCCAAATTATTTAACAGAAAAAAAAGGTCTCGTTCGTGGAGTGGATACTACTTTAAGTGAGAATGCATTGCTCAACACTATTAAGTCTAATATTCCTATTAAAAAAGTTTATAGAATGACTAGATTAGTTCAAAATAATGGTATATCTGAAAGAGTTCCTAGACAAATGGTCATAATTAGCTTTGGGGGTAAATTAATTCCCCAATATATTTACATTAATAAAGTTAGATGTCCAGTTGAAATATATGTTAGTCCGGTTATGCAATGTTTTAATTGTCTTCGATATGGTCATTCAACCACCCAATGTAAGTCACAAAAAAGATGTAAAAAATGCGGCAATGAAGGAAAAATTGGTTGCCCTGATCAATGTATTGCATTTTGCGTTTTTTGTAAAAATAATAACCACGAGTCAATTTTTAAAGAATGCCCCGAATATTTGAAACAAAATAAAACTAAAGAAGCTATGGCTAACTTAAATATTTCGTTTAAAGAAGCTGAAAAAGCTATTGAAAATCCAAGTTATTCCAGTTTAGTTCAAAAAAACAAATTTGCACCCTTATCTACCTGTGACACCGATTTCCCTCCATTAAAAAGCTCTTCTGCTAAACCTTCGAATTCTAACACTGCTTACAAAAATAATAATACTCACAAGCATATATCCTCCCCTACAGTTAGTCCCCCCAAAAAAAGAAAAAATTGTGATACAACTCCTAATTTTCCTCCTATTCGTAGAGAATACCAGACCAGCTTCTATTCGGGATCTATATTTCAGTTTGGAAACCCTGATCCTCCTAATGAATTCAATAAGTTTATCAGTCAGCTGAGTGCTTCACTTAAAAATTTGATCCAACAAAGTATCCAGGATTATTGTAATTCTTCCTCAAATGTAGAATCTAATCTTAAAATGTACGAAATTGAATTAGAAAATAAAATTAAAGATATTATAGGTAATCTTTTTACATAACTTTAATGGCTTCCAAAACCATTAGAATTATTCAATGGAATATTCGTTCGCTAAATGCAAACAAATATTCTTTAAATCAATTACTTTTTGAAGAACGTTTTGACATTGCTCTTTTATCAGAAACTTGGTCCAAACCATCTGATACTGTTTGCTTCAATAATTTTAATATAGTTAATAAAAGTAGAAGTAAGAGATATGGAGGAGTTGCCGTAATTTTAGCAAATAACATTATTTATGAGCCCATTTCATTCGTTAACAATTTCAATCCTAATCTCGAAGTTTGTGGTGTAAATATTAATATTGACCAAAACATTTATTTTATTCTGAGTGTGTATCGTCCAGCAAAAGTTAGAGTAACAATGCAATATTACGTTAGTCTTTTTTCTCAAATTAACAATGATTGTATCATTACCGGAGACTTTATTGCTCACCATGGATTATGGGGATCCAATTTATGTTCCGTCGATGGTAATATACTAGTAGAAGCATTAGATGCATTTTATAATCTAGTTGTTGTAAATGACGGGTCGGCTACTAGAGCTACTCCTCCAGGACATATCAAATCGGTTGTAGATCTTACTATTATAAGCTCTAGTTTATGTTTAGCCTTTGACTGGACCGTTCTTTCAAATACCTATGGATCCGATCATTTTCCCATTAGACTTTCCGTGCAGGATATAAAATTTGAAAACACAATTTTTACATCTTCAATTAAATGGTCCATGTCCAATGCAAATTGGGAAAAATTTAGAGATTCTGTAGAGAGCACCTTCAGATACGAATCAAAGACAAACGAAACCAATGAAATGATATTCTTTTTATTAGATTCTATTACTACTGCAGCCAACAAATCTTTTAAAATTATCAAACCCTCAGTAAAATCTTTTAAACCTTCACCATGGTGCGATGATGAATGTCTCACAGTTTCGAATGCAAGGAAAAATTCTTTTAAAATGTATAAATCCAATCTTACCCTTTCAAACTTTATTGAATATAAGAGGAATGAAGCTGTGTGTAAACGCACATTCCGCTCAAAAGCCAAATCTAGTTGGGCTCGATTTTGTTCCTCACTGAGTAGGCAAACTTCACCCTCAGAGCTTTGGAAAAAAGTAAACAAAATTCAAGGTAAGAAAAAGTACACCGCTAATAATGAAGATATGGTAGAAAGTCTTTTTAGAAAAATCTCTCCAGATTATGTCCATCTACCAGTATTTATGCCGAGTATCTCCACTAATGATCACTTTTTACTAACCTCCCTTTCAGTTGACGAACTTAAAGCAAATATTAAGAGTTCTAAAAATACAGCTCCTGGTATTGACGGCATTAACTACAGCATGCTTTTAAACCTGCCAGTAATTGCCATACATTATCTGTGCAAAATATACAACAATATTTTACTTAAAGGAGACAACTGTGATTCCCTTAAACAATGCTTGGTTATTCCTATACCCAAAGTAAATCAGCGTACTGCCCTAAGACCTATCTCTCTTACGTCTTGTTTGCTTAAAACATTTGAACTAATTATGAAAAGCAGATTAGAATGGTGGTGTGAAAACAAAAATATTTTCCCAGTTAGTCAATATGGCTTTCGTAGAAATAAAGGGACTATGGATTGTGTGTCTCAATTAACGACTGATATTCAGTTATCCTTCTCAAATAATAATTATCTATCTGCCATATTTCTTGATAT